CATTTCAACCACCCTCTCGCACTGTTTAGGGTTGCTTTAAAGGGTATAAGGATCCAGATCAACCCCTTGTACCATCTTTGTAGATTTTTATATTGACGCTGACTGCTTTTGTTCCCGCGGGAAGATTACTGGTTCTAGATATTTTCTTTATTTTCCTTTTTGCCCTTCTTCTTCGTTGCCTCGTCTTTCGGGCATTTTAGTCGAACACGCGAGCAAGTTTAATTTTAACGTAGCTGCTGTAAATTCTTAAATTTTTCTCCTTGTCTCGGGTTACTCGTTTTCATCCGCCCTTTCGAGAGTTTTACACGTTTCGCTGTTACTCCCGATGGAAAGAGTCATTAATTGTTGAAGTAACGTAATTTTATTACGTTTCATTGTATTTTCTCCAATTAACAATTACTGTAGGCCAATTACGTGCCAGTTTTAGTTTCACGGTATTGGTTGGTTTAATGATCGACAATTTTGGGGCAGCAAAGTTTAGGGCTGCTGGACACAAAATTTAATTCCAGACATAAGGATCCATTTTAGCGGCCATTTCGAAATTCCGTCTGAAATTTACCAAAATATATTATTATCGTCGATAAAAAAACTTAAATAGACACTTGTGTTTTTTTTTATCCTGTTCCTATCTCATAACGGGATACGATTACGCGATAATACGATCCGATTAATTCAACGCGCATTTCTGCGATTCGCCGGAGAATTTTATTCAACGATACTACTATGGCATACGTCACCTTGTGAAACACCCTTCTCCAAACCTATGGCAAGCATTCCGCAATCACACGCCCTACATCCAGGCTAATGGAAAATTCATATCCCTTAACTAACTCTGACTCATCCAGAGCACCCTAAAACTTGACATCCTCGTCCTAGCAAATGCCAAAGTACAGCACACGCATCCTGTGGCACATTGCGAATCCAACGACCATCTCTTAGTCCGCTAGCCTCCAGATATTTACTATGAACTCGAAGGAGCAGAATGCCCCTTATGCTCAGTTCTACTGCTCAGTCTCGCGGTTAACGTGAACGCTTATTCGGATAATAGCTTTTAGCTAGAATCTTGCTGTGGTGAATTATTTCATTCAAAGAAAACCTATAGGCTCTGCTCTGCAAACGTTCGTCGCTTTTTTTTTTTCTTTTTGAGAAAGACATCCCTTCGAATATATATAAAAACTCGACTCCTGGGCCTGGGTTCACGCTACGTACAGTCTGACTACTAACCAAACTGTAACGATACATACCAATTCCCCTTAGATACTAAATCAGCCGATAATAGACGTTGATAAGACGTTGCACGTACTTCGATATTTTACTGAAACTTTTTTTCTTATTTTCATTTCTATTGTTATCGAATTTCTCGCCGCGCCTGGATTTCGTAGCTATTTTCTCACGGACCAACGGATTGCCGATGCGTGTGGCTGAGGCCAACGTGTATAACGTCGCGAGTTTTAAATAACGAAGGTAAAAAAGTGATACCTTTAGAATATATCCAGTTTTGGAATCTACGCAGATAACGGAGAATAAATAACAGGGAATAAATAGCCAACAGAGAGTGAGAGTCACAGCAGCCGGAACGTCCTTAATTCTCGGCTTCCTCTCGGCTTCGGTCCCACACGGTTAGTAGTAGCGCTACTTATTAGGGCCCGTTAGCATATACGTATATACTCTTCAAACACCACGACCTATCCTCGCCAAGAGAGTCTCTTACGTTCTATCTTGAATATGGAGACGGGCTGGCATCGTGTGCCGTTCATTAATACAAGTTAGACTATTTAACTTTAAGCACTAAACAAGCAATTATGCATACCTGTCATTGGAACCATGCGCGAATTTTGGTTTCGTTAAATTTTACAGCAGACTGTACTCCCATTGTTCAACCCTCTTACTTAAACTTTCTCAGTCCCATTCACGTACTTCCATGACGAGTCTCGAGCTCTGATATAGGATTAGTCGCACCCAATGAAAATCCCCGTGTAGACCCGTCGGAAGGTTTCACCCATAAAGTCAACCGGGACACGCGTCGCTGAACATTACTCGAATATCTAAAATTCCTCTATCGATTTGCGTGTGGCTGATATGTATACCTATGGGTACGTGGGTAGTGAGCACACATGTTCCTTACATCGTATTTTTTTTCTCTCTGTAAATATATGTATTTATATGTATGTCTATCCTTCGTCTCTATCGCAGAATCGCGTCAAAACATCGGCGTCCAGCAGAACTTCCTACGACGTAGCGCTCATTGAAAATGTGCTGTCACTCTTTCACGATGCGCTATGTCGGTAACGCAGAGTCAGATCGGTCGAGCCAGACGAAATTTTGTTTTCCGTACTGAGAACCGCTGGATTATAAACATGCAATTTTGAACACTCTGACATGCCACTCACTACCAGGGTTAAATTACGAAGTTATTCCGTAAAGTGTGTAAGGTTTCTTGACAGGGTGATATTTATTTTATATTTTTTGTACCCTTTTTTTTCTAGTAACGTTTTACCCTGCGCGCGTATATTCACTTGGGACTCGGGTCACACGTGCTGGAGACACGCTCGAGCTCCGTTCAATTATTCACTTCGCATTAGACTCGCTATGCGCGCATCCTTTCTCGAAAATGTTCATCCTTTATACTGCCGGACTGGATTCATGGCACAAAGTAATAATCATCGAGTCCGATGTGACGATTAATATATTTTTTCTTGGCTTGAGTCTGGAGGACTAATAGTATTGTTGTTGAGTCTCGCTTCGTCCGAACACATTCGTCTGTCTCTTGGATAAAGTCGCACGAGCTCGGTCGGTAATTGCCAGGAGTTCTACTTTAACGACGGAGCACCGCTTCTGCTCTGCGAGTAACTGCAAAGTTTAAATTTAATTTTAACAGTCAAAGTAATTCACGCGATAAGATTGCAACACTATACGGTTCCTTTCGAGTGATTGTTCGATTTGAAATGAGATTATTATCTTCGTCGGGAAACTCTTTGTGCTTGGAAATTTTTCTTTCTAGGGCTCTGCTCTCTTTGTTATCAGTATCGACGAGCCAGTCAGCGGCGTAAGGCGGCATAGCGCGTGCTCATCATGAATAAATACATAATTTACGATTAAAACACAATTAAAAATTCAAATTGACCTTATCTGTACCTCGTTATGTGGCGTTTGCTCCCGTGCCGTGACCCTTCATCGGGGATATTATGATTTAGGTCGCTTTTTGACGAACACGCGGAACAATCGTTATATTCGCTACCGAGACTTTGAAACGCAAGAGAACGCCGAAAGGGGATTCTTCTGTTTCCTGTCTCTCATTCTCTTCGTTTCTTTCGTATCTTTAACCTGCACTCCTTCTCTAGCTTAGCACATCTTTAAACTGGGGTCGAAAATCTAAGGTCATTCGTAAAATTTTCTAACAGCGCTACGGTCTAATTCCTTGCTAAGTCAGGAAAGGAAGTATTCTCTCAAAGTTGAAGCATTTGAGTGTGCATATATACACATAATATATTTAGCATAGTAATGGGTAGGAAGCTAGCTGAAAACTTAAATCTGTTTTTTCTAAGTATATTTCTTTTATTTTATTTTTCTTTCTCTACGACGCCTCCATCCTGTGTATACCAATTTCTCGAGGAAACGTGCACGCTCCGGAAAGCATACTAGATCCCAAAGAGATATAACGGCGGGTATTAAAAATTAAAAGCAACGAAGGAAACAAAGTTGATGAAAATGGTCATAGGCATATTACAACGCACGGTTAATATTTTTTCGAATTATCTCCATCATCTGCTCTTTCGGTAATAAGGACTTGTCCAGCAGCGTAATATATTGCATTACTGTCAAGAGCAGTTCAACGCCCTAGGAAGTTTACTCGGTAGAATAATTCGTGTCATCTATTCTAATTACGTAAATATACGCAGGCGTTTAGCATCGCCCCTGCGACGATCAAAACCTACTCGCACGGGGGTAATTTAATTGCGAGACCGATTTCAGCAGCCGAAGTTTGCAATTAGCAAACAGTTTCGAAAACACGTGTCACCGGAATTTCGTTTTTTTTTCCCATATACAAAATCTTTAAAAATCTCCGAAATCGCAAAAGGTGCGAATTTGATTGAAACGTAAAAAAAAAAAAAAAAAATTAACCCATGTTTCCGCGATTGGTAAGCCTGCTCCAGAAGTAATCGTGCCGCTAATCGTAACCGCGTGCGGCACGCACGGTTTCTCCATGAGATTTAGTACCGATCAAACATACAAGTACTAAACTATGTCAGCTTTAGAACCTTCTCCGATTATCTGTATACATGACCTACCCTAACCCAACGTATTACGAAACTCAATAAAAACGGGTAAATTTACATTTTTCATTAAAAACGTAATTTTTTCTCGAATCTGTAAATATTTTTAACAATCTTATCAATCTCATCCTTATTGCTCTGTTATGCAGTATAGTCGTAGAATTTCGTTTAATCAACGTGTCCTAAAGGGCTCCGGGCAAACTAAGAGCTGGCAACGTAAACCGACGGAGACATCATTCCCTTCCGAATGCTCTAAGGCGCATGGTTTACCTATTAATCTTGTAACTAGCAGTCATTAATCTCTCATGAGGGCGGGAGGCTGTATTACATCCGACTTTATGCTATGTTGCACGTGGATGCGTAACGCAGCGCAGGTGTATGGTAATATCTGGAAATGATGGTACTTTGGTATATAGGTTGGGTTAGTTACTATGTACTATATATACAGGGTGGAATAATAACTTTGCGGGGATGCTGAGACGCCACGTTGATATCAGGAGACAGGATTTAGCTGTATAATCTATATTGTATGTACTTGAGGATGCTGACGCTACAATATAATCCTTACTTAATTCCCAGTGTATAGTGTGTAACTATAGTACGTAGCCGGGCCAAGTATAGTCATACTCCACGGCTATGGTAGATACGTAATAACTATGTGACATAGTCCGGAATGCCTTTCCTGTATTATAAATCCTAACTCGTTTAACTCTCGTTGCGTTTCAGCACATGGTGCAGACAGGTATGGCTGCGCCCTACGGTGGGGGTGTCTTTCCACCCCCTGTGAATGGGGTAGCTGGGGTCGTCGGCGCTGCTGGAGCTGCTGGAGAGGTTAAACCACCTCCGCCCGTTCCCATTAAGGAAGATAACAGCGGCGCGCCGCAGCAACCGCCTCCTGGTGCACCTCAAGTTCCACCCCCTACGGGAGCCCCACATCAAGCCGCACCCGGCGCACCCACAACGGCCAGCTTTAGCCCGCCACCGCCGCCGAATGGCGTCGATCAGCAGGCCATTGTGAGTTTTATGAATATTTCTTTCTTGTTGCTTGATTTTATTTTTATTTATTTTTTTTTTTTTCTAGACGCGTTTTATTTTCTATGATAAATTTTTTCACTTGATTTTTCATATCGGGATGACTGGAAGGGAGTATATCGATCTATCGGACCCCTACTCCATCTCCAGTTTAATTTTAACAGTGTAATCGCAAAATATGTAAACCTTTTAGATTTAAATAATTATTTAGCATAATGATAATTTTCGTTTTTACTTTAGGTTATTTGTTTATTTAACAGAGTCTTTATATAGCAGCAATCGTGCACGTTCAAGTAGCAGTTTGCCAGACCGGTAATATAAGGGATGAAGGTTAATCCTTTAGTATTTATTTAAATCTCAAATTTTTGGAATTTGGAAAACATTTTCGACTAACACTGCTGACTTATTAAACCACGGCAACCTCCTCTCTACCCTACGAATAGCGTAGTCCCCGGGTGTGCTTGCACAGCAAATTGCCGCATTCCTATTGGCCATGCTGTCCACGTAGCCACTATGGACAGAGACACTTATGTCAGGCTTGCCAACTGGCCGCGCGATATTATGCCAGCAGGAATGCCCTAGGACGGTTCAGGATATCCCTAGCACCTAGCACGTTTGGGGACGGGCGAAAAGCAGGAAGGGGAAAAGATCAGGGAGGAAATAAGAATCGTATAACGAAATTGCGAAAGTCACACGCTGGAAGAATCGACGTCATCATTCTCTTTTTCAATTTTTTTTTCTTTATTTTTTTTTCACAAAATTCCAACCACCCAGGCAGACTCGAACAATCGTTAATAGCTTGAAGACTTTTCTATGGTCGACTTTGAGATTGACTTTTTCATACGACGGCAAAAAGTAAATCCTACCCTTATTACTTCAACCAGCTTCTTTCTTTTCTCGAGTCGCAACTTTATTTTTTTCTATTCCGGGGGATCAATCGAACTCTTCTTTGCTTTTACTGAATTTTTTGCTCGTTCGAAGAATCTTCACGACCTCTTAGCCACGCGCACCTATACTCCTTCAGGCTAACACCCACACACGATTCGAGGTATAATTGGTCGTTTAAAGGAATAGGGCGTAAAATTTATGTTGCCGGAATGGCCTCGCTTCTCTCCTTTATGCGAGCTTTACTACCCTGCTGCTTATGATGGGATACGGAATAGGGGATGATTGGGCAGAAGGCGTAGTTCGTGTATATCGCAAATTAGCGCAAGCTTGCGGTTTTCAAAATTCCCGGTATATATGTTTATACTAGGTACCCAACCTCACTTTGGTATAAACGTCAGAATACAGAGAGAACATGGAGGCATGGTTTTCGAGCTCCTCCGATGTCTTCGATTACGTGCCAAGATTTCAAACGAGATTTCATCACCCATTCGTACTACCATAATAGATGAAACAATGAAAGTGCCCAAGATTTCCAGTTTCCATTGCTGACCCTAAGATCCGAAAGTTACACGATACCTTTAAAGTATTAAATTTTTAAGACTGCCAAAAGCTTTGAAGATCGATAATTCAACACTCGAAAGCTGTCGTTGCGATTTTCACGCTTTTCCACTTGACCGTATTTACCCAGGTGTCTATCTGGTTTTCATACCTTGGAATCACTTTCTCGATTATACTTCGGGCATTTGAAAAGTTCTTATGGCCAGCTACTGTGTACTTTTGTCGACAGACGCCATCATGAGCACTTCTGTACCGTAAGGTCGAGTACAAGATATTGTCAAGACTCCATGAAAGTTCAGACAGAAAGCAATAAAATGAAAATCAAATATCTATGTTTGATGTTCCATTTTTCTCTATTGGCTATATAGGGTATAATCTTGGGCGCACGTGTTCCTGACGCTCTGACCCTTGAATAATCTCCACTTCGAAGCCCCGATATCGATATAAATTCGATCTGCCGTCTAAAGGAGTCTCTCATTGATCGTCGCGCACGAGGGACGTAGACACTTTGGTCGAGAAGCCTGCAAAAGGTTTATCGGGTATAATATCTCGTTGGATCATAGCAGTCTGAATATAGTCAAAGAACAAAGGAGCTCGGTAAACGGGCTTTAGCCACTAATAGAATTGAACGTGATATCATCAGGGACGTCTATAATTAATTAATTCTCGTTCAGTTTCTTCCACGTGTTAACGAATCACTCGTAACGACACAGAGAGCCATACGTTGCCTTTGTAGAATTTCGCTTTTGGTTCGTTAATTGGGCATTAAGTTTAAGCAATGTCCGCTTGGAACACGTGCGCTTAACTATTTTCGATGCTTGTTATGTCTAGCTTTTACGCACAGAAGTGTTTACTACCACTGGTAACGGCCTTCTATTGAAACTGTATACCGTCTCTGTAAGATTAGAGCAACCCCTGCGGGATTTAATTTCCCAAGCGGGTTTTACATCACGATGAATTCCGCGCATCCCTACTTTAAGCGGTTACGTTTAGTCCTCGGTGGAAATGAAAATTTCAAATTGTAGTACCGCTACCTTGGATATTTAGACTGCGATTACAGCGCCACTGTGCAGCACTTTAATACGAGAATGAAATTAACTCGCGTACAGTACGTTACGTTGTTTACGGTATATAAATGTGGATGGCAGAGAATTTTCGGGGTGGATTCTTTGTCGCAAGGAGTGAGACACGTTGGAAGGCAAACATATATTCAGGATACTCTGACGCGGACGGTACTTTCACGTGCACTCGAACTTTATTAAACTTCTTTTTTACTGGTTGCCAGACGCCACCGCTACGCGGCGCCACCGTAGCTGACTCGTGAGCTTCTCTCCTGTTTTCCTTTTCTAAGCTCTTTCAATTCTCTTCTCTCTGTTACAAACGACGTTCCGCTTACCTTGGCGAAGCTTTACGATGTGCTTCCTCGAGTGTAGCTGACTTCCGGTGGCACTCGCGACCTCCACAGGCGAAAAACAAATGGCGCATAAAGTTCGAAGGCGCTTTCTATAAATCTTAGAGCGGGCAGGCACCTCTCTGTTATTCGTGCGAAGCTAAAAGCTTCCTGGTGAGTCCGATATTTATTCGCGGAGCATACGTATTTCAGGTCTAACGGCTCTCCGAGACTCCCGTGAGTTTTTGTTTATCCGGAAATCTCAAGGCGTGTTTCCGGTTAACGACACGAATTACGGAATTCATACTTCACTTTCGCCGTCTACGTTTCTCCAATGTAAATAGAGCTTACTGGCCCATTGTAAGTCCTTAGGGTATTCAATGCCTCGTTTACTTCTAGATGTTGTTTCTTCCTTTTACTCTATTCTTTTCTTTTCCTTCTTCTCTCTCCGATTCGTTTACTTGCTTCTTTGCACGTCATTGTGTCACTCTGTATCTCTCTCTCTCTCTCTCTCTCTCTCTCTCTCTCTCTCTCTCTCTCTCTCTCTCTCTCTCTCAACTTTTCTTATATTCCTCCTCGTAGTTTCCTACTGTCAACGACGTCGGGACGCGACGTTACTCACGATTCCGAAAACGAGCCTCGAATAACAAACAGTTCATCTAAATGCTGATTGAACCTCAGGCCGAAGCTACCGTCCCGACGTTAAGAGCCAATCCTCGGGACGGGAAATGGTCGTCAGGAAAATATCGATAAATCAAGGGACTCTGTTCTTCATTACGTATTACACGATCGGCCGGATCGTGAGATAGCCGAAAGTTATTGTTCGTATCGTGGAGACTGTGCAGTTTTGGGTAAGATGGTGGGTAATGGGATCGGCTGACGTGGAATTATAGTCGACGAGCTTGTAAAAATGTTTAATGGGACGCGATGAAATACTGGGAGCGAAGCGATGCTCTGGAGAATTGCGGGTAGAAGCTTTGGCAACCATGAGAATGAACATTCCCACGGTATTTCCACTTTGCTGAATTTATTCCTGCTGGATGCTGCGGTCCATCGATCGACTTGGTTAGACTTTCATCCTGGTACCATGTGTTACCTTAATTTCGCATATATGAAAAGTTATTATATATTAAGAATTGATGTATTTTTTAATAATTTTATTGATCAATTTGGCCATCTTGAATCTCATGCTTGCTACTTATCTGTTTAATAACTTAATACCTCATTCCTCTTGCACTATTATGTATAGACCGTTAATTAAGTTACTTAAAAGTCTCTTTATCATAATTAATACGGATAATAAATTTTATAATTTTTTTTATTCACTTTCTGATGTCAAGGCAAGAGCTTTTCTTTTTCTATGCTTCTCGGATCTTTATATACACATAGAGCCACGACAGAGAGAAGGTGAGCTTGTGGTAAAAGAGAAAAATTCTTCAAGTCCTCTTTTTTTTTCCGACGACAGTCGGAAGTGTTTCAGGCAGCTGTGGCAGCAGCGGCAGCGGCAGCCGCAGGCGGCGGGGGGCAGCAACCGGCACCGACTCCTGGTGGAAATGAAGCAAGTCCGGAAGGTGGCGTCGAGGCGAATACACTTGTACCTGTCACGTCAGGAGCCACGACACCCGCGACAGCGACACAGGGAACGGACCTTAAGGGCCAACCGAAACGCCTTCACGTCAGCAACATACCTTTTCGATTCCGAGATCCTGACCTCAGGGCGATGTTCGGGGTAAGTTAATATTGACTGTTCAGCCTGTACAGCCGGTTGCCTGTACTTGGGTCGAGACCCGATCGAGTCTCTTGATCATCTGTGATAACCTGATCTGTAGGAGTTTAGACGCACAGACTGATGAGACTTTTATTAAATTGGGAAGAATTATAAGAGTTCTTATCAATTTACATATAGAAATAAGGGAGTTTATAACCTTCGACGAGGGAGTACCATAAAGGTCGATTCATAAGTATGAGCTAGCAATATTTTTTCTAAACAAAAAATAGAACGTTGGAGTATCCCGCACTGAAATTCTAAGCTATCTTAACCCAGCATACCCATCATAGTTGGGAATATCTGGGATTGGAAAAAATTTAATATCCACATATAAAAAATGTCTGTGATGTTCATGGAAATGGCTGGGAGTCAGCGAAGTTCTCACTCTATACTGAAAATAGTCGTCGAAGTAAACCCTTAGATATATTTACTTTTACTTGTTAAACAAGAATAATATCCGTCTGTCCCTTTTAAGCGATCTTCTTGTGATATAGAAGCCCCACAAAGGGGTTGTGCAAGTTGTTTCCACAAAAGCATCAGATTATAGAACTCAACTGAAATATTGAGGATGGCTCAGAATGCTTTCTAATCGGATCTCATGAACTGCGATTGGAGCGAAGTGCTTTTTCTTTTGTTTTAAATTAGACCATCCAGTTGGTGTCGTCAGCGATAAATGATCGTGTGGCAGTTAACTCACTTTGATGTGGTTATTCTTTAGCGATTTTTCATTGGTTGATATATGGGTTAACTGTATTTTGATCTGTGTTTCATTGCACTTGTGAACTTGCAATGGGCTAATTTACGATTGCTTTTAATGGCAATCACTCGCAGATGGTTAGAAGCAATTAGCGCGACTAATGGTATACATATGTACTTGCCTTTAATGTACTTTCGTTTGCTTGTTTTTCAGCAATTTGGACCCATTTTGGACGTGGAAATCATATTTAACGAGAGAGGAAGCAAGGTAAGCGCACTGCGCCCTTAGGCTGCGAGCCACCCCTGTCAACCCACCCCTGAAACACTCAAAACTAGATATAGTATAATATTATAGCATTTATGTGATGTCGTGGCTGGTCGAGATTCGGATCATTTTTATTCTTATCCCTTTTCATATTTACGTTGACTGCGAATATTTTATGTTATCAACTGTTTGATTATTGAAACTTTTGATGATTCAATAAAAATGTACAATGTATAAGGTATTTTTCATTGCACGCCAATCAGTTCCAAGCGAATTATAATTGCGTGAATTTCAGTATCTAAACTAAAATAAAAGTTTTGGTAGTGTCAAATTAAAAAAAAATTTCCTGGGTTCCGAAATTCAACGACCCGCCACGAATAAGTCATTAATTAAAATTAAATAACAATATAAAATGCAGAACCATATTTTATATTTCCTAACGATGCGATTCAAAAAAAAGGATGTTCTACCTCAATTAATTTGCAAAAATGTGGTTCTGCATTTAATTGTTCTCTTTTCCTTTCAGCGCATTGGCAATCCTTGCGACTTTAAAAATTGCCAGCTGCCAACACCACGTGCTCAATGCAATTTAAACGGCACGTGTGATGACGCGTGGCGAAACTCGTTCTTGCTTTTTGAAGTTCGCGAAAAAAAAGGAAAGGAATTCCTAGTCAAATACGAAGTACGCAATTCCATTCTCGTAGCAGCTTAACAATCGGACCATGCAGTAAAAATATACCTTGGGGGTGCAAATGCGCTTCAATATGGATGACAATGGTTAGGATAAGATCCGCAGTAATACATCGCGTCGACAGCTGGCATCCGGTGAGCTTGCATATTCAGCGCCACTACGTCAAGTGCACTCGAGTGCACTTTATCAAGCTCCCAGCAGTGGCACTAAATTATACGTTGCTTAGGATATACCGTGATGAGGCTAAAACAATTTTGCCGAGATTGTTGAACTTTTACAGTTACACGAAAAGAGAATTGAAAATATTTAAATTGTCGCGTCAGCTGATCCGACGGGATATTGAAAGCATAAATTTTCAGTTTGGATATTATTATTCTGTGACGTCACAAAAAATTACGGTGATTCGATCCTAATTAACACCAAGTTAATTGCTCGCTAATGGCAACGTCTCTATAACGCGATGACAGGACGTACACCTGACGAGAAACATCCGGTCAATCATCGCACTAATATAGGACGCGGAATGACCTCTGTGCAGTTTCCGGATGGCCAGGAGGGTTAATTGAAGTTCGTACAGGGCGGCTTTCACAATTCCATATACGATTGACTATCGTAATTTGACATGGCTATGTGTATATATGACTCGCAACTTACTTTTCGCAACTAACGCCATCTCGCGAATAAACGTAACTTTGGTAAAGGCTCGGAACTAACATAATTTTCAAACTTTCCTCTTGGTACACCTATCCTAACCAACGTAAACTATCGCGCAAACAATTCACTGTTCGCAAAACGAGAATGGGAGTGGCTTCTCGTTGGCAGGAATTTACATAAATTCGTCGGCAGCACAAAGCAGATCGATATAACGTCACTGAAAAGAGATCTCGTTGCTCGAGTGGAAGATTACAAAAAATATATATATATATATATATATATATATATAAATTTTTAACGATTATTGGAAATAAATTTACTCGGGAGATTTGCTTTGGATGCAACCGCATTTAATATTGCGAATTTTCAATGTAAAAGATGCAGTTTTCGATAATGATAAAATACGCGATAAACGAGGCGAGGATTGCCAATGCCTTTAGACATAAGGAAAAACAGTGAGACTGTAGGGATTTTCGTATTACTTTCTAATATATGAATTACAGCTTAACAAAAATCCTCTATCGTCTCACTGTCACAGTATATACATACCTATATATATACTATAACACAGTTTTCAGCCGCCATATGCTTTTGCAAAATGCGTTTGCCAGGAGGACATTGCGCGTAGACTACCATTTTGTAAAAGCACTATGCTTTAGCCGTAAGACCTTTTCCAAAAGCTTCGTCAATGTAAATGGAATGTGGCATCCCTAATGAAGTGCAGCATTTTGGACAAGCGAACGCGGACCGTTTCGATGGCCGAGGGATAGACGAATGTTTTTTTTTTTAATAAATTTTTTTCAAAAATTTTCAATTTATACAGTAAAAAAAATGTGGACTGTGATCAACTCTCAATAACGAATCACAAAGCCATCCGCCTCTGAAACGGCCTGTACACGCGTTACATACACTGTGTATGTGCCCAGGGACACGTACATGCCTACGATATAACCAATGGTGTTAGTTCTCGTAGTTGTTTGGACGAGCTGTTGCATTTTTCTAGCTAGCCTTCCGCATTTTTCATTTAGTTCCCATTGGTTATAAGGAAAAACGATGTTTTCAGTCTAGTCCTACCGGAAGTACGTCAAACGTTCGATAAATCGATTGAAAAAAAAAATTATTTTTTTTTATACCTATTGTTCCTGATTTCATGTTTAGAAGCAATACACTTTGGTCGGATGAATTACCATCATCTACGACGGACTTCCGGTACGTCACTGAACCGATCGTCGTCATTTCCTGTCACGAGGATACTCGGGAGATGCTGCCCATTTGATTTGATGAAACTTTTCACTTGTCGTCCAATGCTGTTTTAACATCGTACCAACCTTTCTTACCAGCCTCACCTTTACCCGCCGACCATAACCTCCATTTCATCAGCCATCGACTTCCGCCTACGACAGAATTCCCATCCCGGCAGTCAGTCGAATCTTTCTCCGTTCGCCGTTATCCCACGGGAAATTATCGAGGCTCTCGACAATTGATATCTGAAAATTGTTTGATTATTTTTTTTAACTCTTTCGCAAAGTCACCTATAGTGAATTTTCTATATCTCGTTGATACGGAATCCTTGGGAACGAGACTCTTATGTCACTAATCCATCTTTTTTGCAATTATACATCACGAGCATGAAACGTACTGTACATTTGTACGAGTTTATATAATATTTATATGTATATATATGTCATTTACATATACATATGTATACACGCTTCGTCAGGTCAGTCAGGTATTAAAAGAGTCTAATGCTTTTTCACTTATTCACTTATTTCTTTATTTATTCGCTGTGTCGCATAAGTATTTAATTAATTAATTAATTACGTGTTTAGACTTAGAAGCTGCTTACTCACTGGCGGCCTGGTTCCCTTACTTATTGGTTATCTTGTCCTTAGCTCAACTTCGCAGATATTATATCTAGTTAACTAAGGGTGACGTTGCCTAGGGAATTAATATACATATGTATGCTTGTACGGTGCGACGATTAATTTCGACAAATTTTAGGGTAATTTTTCAATTAAAAAATTCGAATTTATATGAAAGTAAAAGCTATTTACCCGAGAGCCTTGATATTTCTATGAGAATCCTAATACGACAGCGCCATTTCTTTCAATTTCCGTAATTTCCCAAATGTACAATTTACTTCTCTTAATCACTTTTTTTTTCCAATTTACACACTCCCTTTTTCTTTCTTTTGTATTTTCATTATTTTTTTTATTTATTCGGGCGCTTTCTTTGTACTCGCTGTTTAAAGCATCTATTCGGTTAACGAACTGGAGTTTCATACTGTTATTTTTCTTTCATGAAAAAAAAAAAAACAACTAAACACTTTTCTCTTATTTGTCAATCTTTTTTTTGTTTATCAAGATAACCGGAAAAAAAATCATGTACAAACTAAACTACATGGCGTTTTTCTGTTATGGATTTTCTTCATTAATTTCTTTCTTTAATCTCATCCTTTTTGTCCATCCTTTCGCATCACTTACTTTACTCGCATTCACTTTCTTCTTCCGATTCCACTTGTTTCGGTCGCTCGTACTCTTTACGTATTTCCACACAAAAAAAAAAGAAAAAGGAGGAACGAAAAATCGTCGAGAGTCCTTTATCGAAATTTCCTTGTATGCTTGTCCTACCTACGTACAGCGTTTGGCAAACGCTTATCGTAAAAGCTCCTTTTCCGCTCTTCACGGAAGTTACGTTCATACATCTAGTTTTTATCACCCTCTTTCTGTCTCTCTCTCTCTCTCTCTCTCTCTCTCTCTCTCTTTCTTTTACTTTTTCTGCAGTCTCTATAACATTCGATTAACCTGTATACGAGAGAAACGTAAAGTGAATTAACGGCCTGTAAAAGCTTAGAAGCTTCTTCTTACCATTCACTTACCACTGTAACGACTGCTGATCTTTTAGTGAGAAAAACACGGTGCAAAAACATATATAGATCATATATATCGTGACTACTTCACACGATTCCTTTCGTTTTCATACCAAATTCCACTGTATCTCTTACGAGCTTTCTTTTCTCCTTTTCTATCCGCTCAGAATCACTGCTCAACTCTCTCACTTCTACCCGACTTTTCCCAAATTTCCAAATGCCCATCCGATCAGCGCACAAAATAACGAAACCTCTTCGATGCCCGACACTTCACGGACGACTAGACGATTTTCGGAGATGAGAAACCAAAAATTCTTGATACGTGAAAAAAGTCAGTCTTGTTCACATATTTTTCTTAATTTCTCATTAAAACTTTTATTTCCTCCTGGACCACGTTCTTTTACGTACAGAACTACGGCTTGAGCCCCCTAAGCCTCCTTTTTCTTTTATACCATCCCACGTACCTGCGTAATCGTGATAATTTTCTGTGAGCTACCCAAAGTTTATTCAGCAGGTCGTATTTTGAGTTTTTCAAAAAAAAAAAAAAAAATAATAATAATAAAATCTGCCAGCCCTTCGTTACACTACTCACAACCCACTCACATGTGTATCCTCCGTTTCAAGCAAATTCCTTCCACATGTCACACGTAGATCCTCGTAGGCTTTTATTACACGGGAACCGTTCTGGCCCATGGCACTCATGCATATATCAATATATACATATATGTACACATATATGTATGTCTATATATCTATATATATTCGTATAGCTGATTTATCGTTGACTTGATTGTTTAATAAATAGTTGTCTTTTGGTACACGCACACCACGCACACGCACACGCTCACACCCGGTCGGCGCGAGTAGTTATCTATTTATCTTTATCTTTATCTTTCTTTCTTTCTCTCTCTTTTTCTTTATTTTCTTTTTTTCTTTTTCTTTTGAAAATAATATTACTGCCTTGCCCATATACATATTGTCGTCTCTCTATACGCACCTCGTCACTGTTAATTAATTCATTTTATTAATCAACGCCCACCACACACTTCACTCACTTATCAATATATCGACGTGTCTCGATTCTCTGGACATTTTGGTCGTTATCATTAATAATCTTTTCTTTATCTTACTCCTCACAGTCTCTCGCTCGTTTTATTCTTTTTTTTCTCATTTTCATCTTACTTTCTTTTTCTTCTAACTATACTTCTCACTCTTTCGTTATCGTCCAATGGGTATCTGCCTACGTAGATATATGACTGTTTACGCTTGTATATACATATATATATATATATATATATATATGTGTATACGCGTGGTGGAATACCTGTGGACGAGCTTTTATGGTTTTGCGTCGTTCTACACCTATATCGCGATATTGTCGCTGCTTTGTAAATAAACGCAAAAGCATTTCATTGTCGCTATCGCCGCGCATACGGATTAATTAATAGTTACATTTTTTTTTTTCGTTCAAGGCGTCGCGACGAACGGCGTCCTTCGATCACATGGCTACATCATATCTGACATCGCGAGTAATGCGTTTAATCGATGCCGAATTAGAAAAAAAAAAATTAATTTTTTTTTTCGGAAATTGATTGGATATTCAATTTGCCGCGTGACTCCCCAAAATGAATATTGCGTTAGATAATAATTATAAGGTTCAGATGCTTTTTTTATTTTATCGAGTGCACAAATCGAAATTCCAATTACATTTCGCGCGTTAGCTTTAAAGTGGGCACCGGAGATCGAATGCCGGGAAATCGTATTAAAATGATTGACGAAGAAGAGACCGGAAAAGGTGATCTCGATGAAAACACGAAAGTTCGAGATATTCGTAACGTGCATCGTATTGCTGCTGTATACGTAACGTCAATATGGCGTGTCACGATTAGGATCTACGGGTGAGAGCATAATTATGCATATCAGTTGCCACGGAGCTCGGCGGCGGGTCGCCTGGATTAACGTTGGCTGGCCTCGTTGATGAAACCGTGATTAATGCTATGCACTTTTGTAAATGGGCCAGGTTGGGATAGGTCCTGCGTCAATATGTCTTTCGGATTTCAAGATAGGAGTTACGTCCGATATAAGAAAGATATTTGATTATCATTTCGTTCGATTGTCCATTGAGATAATTAACGTATTTTGTAAAATGGTAAAATAAATTGTCATGCATAAATTAATTATATTAAGGGAGTCACGTTGCATCTCGTTCAATCTGAAATTTCGATATTATTATGTATTTTGAAAATTAATTACTTATAATTATGATCATGTCTATCACACGATTCCGTAAATTCACACACAGATATAAAACATACGTCTCTCGCGTTTGATATGTATAGAACGGATATTCCGGGCACACTTGGCGGAATTTATTATTGCTATCGTAGACCAGGAATCTTCCAATATACTCCAGGAATACCATAGGCGTTAGATAAATCATTTGTGCGATATTAATGAAATTCCAAAGGGCACTTCTATTATCGATCTTCTGAGGGGAATATGTACGGGAAATCCTCTGGAAGCAGTTAGCGAAATATCAAGGAGAAAAAGGACTTCTGAAATATCTTAGATAACGGCTATGGTTATTACGTTGATTTCTCCAGACGATTTTCGAATTGAAAACGATCTACGACGTCGTTGACAAATCCGACGGTTTTCCCCTATCGAGACGCTTTTGATTTTGTCTCTTGCCCACGTGCTGTCTCATCTAGCACCAAGAGTGGCTATCTGCACGGGAATTTGAAAAATCGATAAATTCTTAATTATAACAGTACACCCTGTACGTGCTTATCTGAAATTGTGTACTTGATAATGAACGAAAAATTTTTTTTTTGAAAAAAATATTTATCTTTCCAAGTAATCCGCGCGCGTGTTGAAAAATTAACTTCGACGCTTCCAACTTAGGGGATGACGCAATTTAAACGCAGATCCACACCTTTGCTCCTTATAGCTTCCGGGAGTCACGAACTTTCCTGCGAGAAACTCGATTATCTTTGTACTCGTTTCGTTCCGTGTAACCAGAAGTCTTATGACTTAGTCGTATACCCATACCAACTAGGGGTTAGGTTCCAGGCAGTGGTGGTACAGCCACTGTCAAGAGATGCTTTTCGGTCTTCCAGGCCTCAAGCAACCCCGCTAGTACAAAAGTACTCTGATACTTTCAGCCCTTGGCGTATCGATTTTCTCCACCAAATTACATCCCATATACGTGGTTGAGTGCGATAGGGCACGGTTCAAGTGATACGGCCTACCCTTAATGGAAATGCATCGGGGTAGATAGTTAACAGTATATTCCTTGGGAGACAAATTTTCGTTGCGAATATTATAACCACCCGCTGTTTCTCGTGCAATCTGAATCCACGGTATACAGTAATTATTTGTTAACGGAGGACCCCCCTTATTTCCGCGGTACACACGACGTTTGAATAGGAGACAAAAATAATTTCCTACCAGTAGCACTTCCGGTCGGTTTGTCATCAACCCAAAAAGAGGGATGAAAATATTAAAAGAAAAAAAAAGATTAGGTTTCCTGGCTCGTTACCCCATGTGCTCTGTGTATACGGAGAAAGGTGGGAAATTGCTGGGGAGAAAAGTAGGAATGGCCAGAGGGTTGATAGGAGAGATAAGGGATGAATTCTCTGCGCAGCCAGGACAATTGGAAGATTCCCACTACCCGTGCCCCCACCTAATGAAATATGGTATTTGTATTTTGCTGAGAAAATTTCATTAGGTACCCTTCCATCTTTTTTTGTCTTTCCACAAATTCTCGAGCGCGAAAGTGAGCGTGGCGTTGTACAAATACTTTTTTTTTTTCATACTAATATATCAAGATAAGAATATGTCTTTTTCGTTTTCGCGCAAAAATGCGTTACCAAAAATCCAAGAAAATAAATACCACTTTTCATAATCCTCATATATTTCTACGTTATATTTGAATTTCGGTAAAATATCGTGTTTTCAAATTTTCCTTTTTTTTTTCAAAAATATCGATATATCAAGAGATTATATTAATGTCACAGACACACGCACACGTGTTACATATTGGAAACATTGACAGGAGCTGATACCCGACACTTACCCCTTTGACAGCCCTATCCGTTAACCATATAAACTTTTCCTTCCTTCCTTCCTTCCTTCCTTCCTTCCCGTGATATATTACCTATATACCATATACTATATTACTCTCTCATCTCTTGTCATCACACGCACCTCCCGATAACAGCAGAAAATTAATGATATAATGTGACCATGATGACATGACACGATATGATATGATATGATAATGAGATGATTAATGTGAACCATGACCATGATTTCTTACCATGATTTTACATTTACTTATTTGTTGCACGTTGTTTGGTGCGTCTCCGTAAGCAGTATGAGGCGTCCGCCCCCGAGCGCTGATATAATAACGCGACGTAAAGCAAGACCCATACATTGAAAAAAGACATCAACTTCGAAAGAGTGAAAAAAGTAACGAATTCAAAGAGACAAACTTTTCTTTTTTTTTTCAAAGTACAAATAAATAAACGACACCGTCCTTATTGCCGCCGCTGCCGCCGCTCTGAAATTCCTCCCTCGCCTCACCACCCACACCCATCCCCGTCATTCTACGTTCATTCGTTAAATCCATCATTTTCCCCAATTTAATCACTTTACCTTAATAATATATATTTTCCATAAAAATTATTCCAGCCCCCATCCGCCCACCCCTATTTCGATATCATCACGGCAAGAGTTACAGAGAACAATTAAACAATGAGAGAAAAAAAGGATGTCCCTTTCACTTGTCTCGAACCCATAGTTCGCTATTTTACCTGAAACGAAAAAAAAAAGTACGTACACAACGGACGATCATTGAAATCCTTCATTTCCGATGGAATCCGGAAAAAAAACCCTTGTAACCGTTCCAACGAACAAGTTCGAATTCGATTTCATCGCGTTCCTCCTAATTATAAACTGGTTATTCCCAAAAACAATGATTTTCGGTAAAATAAAAATTTCGGAATTTTTCACCGGAAACGAAGGAGCCACGATGACGCTCGTAAAAACAACAACCTGTTATACCTTAACTTAACCTAACCCAGCACGTACGACCATCCTTGCTTTATACAGAGAATATATACCCCCCTCCCTCCCTCCCCCTCGCCAATTCCACAAAAACACAATAAATTAAATATATAACAGCAATTCAAAAAAGTACCCTTGCACCCACCTACGTAAGTAGAACGTAACATATGTACAAGGGTCACGCGATACACGAGTCTCGTATATATGAGAAGTTTGGCGAAGAGCAATAGCGGATGCGGTACTCATGATACAATAATACTTAAATATATCTATAGTATACCAAACAACCGAACAACATATACAGTACCATATGTTAAATATTTTTGACCATATATACTTCGGCGCTGGGGTGGGCGCGGCAGTCTGTAAGTTGAGTTTAATGCATGTTGTTTTGTCTGTCCTTGCATGCAGGGATTCGGTTTTGTAACATTCGCAAATAGTGCTGACGCGGACCGGGCACGTGAGAGGCTACACGGCACCGTGGTTGAGGGCAGAAAGATTGAGGTGTGCATGAACTTCTTATACTTATATACCTTATATACCTTTAATTAATTTTAATCGTTTACATCTTATTATGCGTTACGTCATTTAACCGTGACAGTAGATGGCGTCGCGTGTATACGTGTATATATATATATATATATATATATATATATATATATATATATATATTTTAAATATGATACTGTTATAATATCAATGGATTATATATATATACACACGTATTTATACGATGCGTATCATACTGTCGCGTACGTTGTGATACGCGCGTATGCGTACCCGGCTTTAACGATAAAAAAGTCGCGTGATGCGTGCGCGCGTTAAACGGCAAAATGCGCGAGGCCCATTGCCACGACGCGTATTGTAAACATGGCGTCGTCGTCCACGTCGTCACGTGACGCGCCCGTCGCGTCCATTTTGTACGTAAGACGCGAGTCGTTTACCGGTACGGTGGCTATTTTTAAAATTATTTCACTTTTTGACAAGCGCGACGTACGCGTCGAGACGACTGAACGCGACGCCTATATATATATATTCTCGTAAATAGTATATTTAGGTGCCTATATACTCTTGGTTTAAAAGGATAACGATTAACCGTTGGTACCACTGGCAACCATGATGTTAAAACCTGGCACGAATGATAATATATAACAAGTGCCGTAATAATTTTCATGTGCAGTAGACATATGAAGCTATATATATTGATAATCAAGTATATACGTATATTATGTGTATATGTGTATATGCATAACGACGTCGGCGCCGAAGCATCTATGAGAGTTTATCATCTGAAAAGTCGGCGTTTCACTAAATGAAATTTTTAGTAAATTCGAATTTTCCCGCCATGAGGCGCCATATTGTTTGGATCGCTCCCGTCCTCGAAACGTTGGGGGCACATTAACGTTTGATACGGCAAACGAAGTGTGATTCGCACGTGATCGATCTCTGGATGCATATGTGGAATCTCCATTGTACGGTTATCGCGGTCTTTGTTTACGTATATCGGGTGACTTCGATGATTCCTTCGATCAGTCGGGGACCACGTGCTTTTTTTTTTTTTTTTTTTTTTTTTTTT